CTAGTCTTAGCTGATTCAGACACTTGCACAATTATGTAATATGTTGTTACATGCAATGTTGACTTATACTATGACATTAAATAATTGGAATAATACATATATGGAGGCATAAGACAATGTGGTGCTTCCAAGTATCTACAGATAGCTTGGTATTCCTGCAGAGTAAATGTGGGAGGTAAGCAGACAGATCTTTGGCTCACTGCAGCACTTTATCCTGTCTTATTAGGTTTTACACTTACAAAGTCATGTAGACTAAAAACAAGGAGGTAGGGTCAAATTGTAAAGTTGAGTAAATACATTTTTAGTTTAATCAAGATGACAGGCAAAGGCAATTGAAAAACCTGTCTTTATTGAAGTATTACAGAGTATGATGAAAAAGGGAACAGAGCTTTTTGAGATAAGACTTTACTTAAGAGAAGACTCAGTACACAGATAATTGGCAAATATGAATAAGCCTATATATTAGCTAGTAATATATCCTGATTCCTGACAACTATGTGGGTAGGTAAAAGATTGTGCTTTCATACACAAGATCATCTCAGTAAAAGGGTGTGTGGAAATTCTTTGTATTGTTTCAAGGTTTCTGTGAATTTGAGTATGTCAAAATTGTCTTTATTTTTTTTTAGAGTGAATAGGTGTAAGCAGTAAGAAAAGCATAACCTAGAAGCAAGCCAAAAACACAGGGCTCAGGCTGTCTCATCCAATATGATCCTATACGCTTGTTTTAAACCTCTTTATGTCAACATTAACCCCAACACAATAATCTATTTACACTGAAAGTCTAATTTTAATTTCCTTTCAAACATCAAAGCCAACGATACTTAGATTTCAAATTGTTACCTCTATCAGCCGTTTAGGAATTAATGGAAGACCCTTAATCTCTGACAACAGACACTCAATCCTGCTTTCTGTTTTTCACCAAGCTGTCTTGCACCTTTATACAGGCATTTCTATCCTCTTTCCCCTTACTATGACCTGTAAGACGGTGAAGATAAAGCATGAGTTAGATGCAACTTGTTTAAAATATCCAACTGACAGTCAAGGTATACTACTGATGTAAACTTCCTGCCCTTTAGTTATGTTGTGCAAGTATGTGAAGATTACTCTTGTCCTCTCCTTCTATTTAACATTTTTCTCTCCTTTGTTGGATGGAAGGAAATTTTAAATGTCTTTAAAAGTTTCCCTAGTCATTGTTTTCTTGCATCCAGTTTCAATAATCCCCATTCCTTTCCAGTACTCCTAAATTAATTTCTTGTAACTTTTAGGGTATATTTATCTGTTTGTACTATTATGATACAGAACAGATTTTTAAAACAATTGCTCTTTGGCATTTCAGTGAATTCTTTGAGATCTTAAGAAATTAATGTAAACAACTCAGGGAAAAATTCAGGGCTGCTTCTTCAAATGTTCTTCTTCATTTGCTGTTCTCTTATATTCCATTTTCTTTTCTTCATTCTGCTCATTCAACTGTGGAAACTTTTCCAGCCCACTTTTGATTTTCTGTCTGTGGTTGTTTTCTTACTTGGCTCAATTAGTTATCATTTTTAAATCTGAACAATTATGCTGCATTTCTGAGATTTCTCTGGAAAGGTTTCTAGGTTTTGCTTCATTCCTGTCATTGTTTTAGAGAGTTATTAATCTATACTTAGGGAACATTCCAGAAGCTATTTAAGATGTTTTTTTTTCACTTCCAGATTTTTTTTTTCAGTTATGCTGTCAGAACTGAGGATTTTTAGGAGATTGTATACACACATTTGAAGCTGATCTTTAGGGCTAAAATTATTCTACAAGTACTATTTAAGTAATCAGTTAGTGAGAAAAGCAGAGACTTGGATTCAAAGCTATTTTCAAATCGGAGGTGGGACAACACAGAACATTTCTGAGTAGGACATGGTACGGACCTTACCTTAACCACCCATTTCTTTTTGGAAAGAGATTTTGTTATCTGAGTGACATGTTCTGTAAGCAGCCTAGCTGAGTGAGGTAGACACTGGCTTTCATAGTCTACCAGTTACTTTCATATCATTTTTTCTGTTATCATTTTTTTCTTGCAGATCTAGAAAAAGATTGATATTTATTATATTTTTGTGGTAATAATTTTCCCTTGTACTGCTTTGGCTTTCTTCAGCTAAATTCCATGGGTGATAGTTTTATAGAGATGATTCATAAATTTTAATTTACTTTTTTTTTTTTTGGCTGACAAAAGTGTAATAAACCTATGTATAAAGAATGTGGCTTGTCATTTTTAGAGTGCTCTGCCACCTTGTGACTGGATTTCTGATAACTGCTATTAGGCTATCTATGCCTTTACTTTTGTCCTCAGTGTGTGTTGACCCTTGAGTCTACCTATTTTTTTTTTTTTCTTATTCATTTCCACATTTCCAAACCTTTATCCACTGCTCTCCCAAAGGAGCCAATATGCAGACTAGACCAAAATTTGAGGTTCTATAAGGTTCAATTGCTAACATTTATGGCACATTTTCCATGGGCGATGACTATTTCAGGAATTAATTTATTGAATCATTTCCCCAAGACAGCTGCTTTTATAAATATGTTGAAAGAACTAAGGCAGAGATAGTGACTTAAAATTATTTTAAATTCAGGTTTTTAAAGTTAAATAACAGTGGTACTCATTGTCACAGTTGGATAACATGAGGTTCTGGTTCCACAGAGTCTGTATGTCATGACCATGATGCTCTCTTGGTGCTGAAGTGGCTCCTCTTTTAAGGATGACAACTTCAGGACTTAAATTAGCATTCAGCCAAGATTTACAGATCTGAACCAATGCTCACTGATTTTGAAGACATTGAGAGCACAACACATTCCTTCTATCCACTTATAAATAAGTAGAGCAAAAATAGAAATTGGGCATTTCCTGAGAACATTTTTGAGGAATCCTTTTATTTCATTTATTTTTAGTTTGGGAACCATCCCTCTTGTTAATTGAAATTTTATTTCATTCTATGTAATTTTGAACTAAGACCTTAAAATTGAAACATTTTAAATAGAAACATATTAGCATGTTCACTGTCTCTGTTAAAGGACAAAAACTTTACACAGCGTTTTTTTTTTTTTTTTTTTGTTTTTTTTTTTCATTTGTTTTAGTACAAGGTACTTCTCTGAATCAGTGGAGAAATGGATATTCACCTATATGTAAGCCTCAAATAAGGTCACAATCATCTGCACAACTATTACAGGGAAGAAAAAAAAGACACTTGAGTGAAACAGCATTAGGTAGGTTAAAGTGAAGATGTGACCATTAGTGCTAAATATTGGAAATAAAAACATATATTCTTCAAAGAACCCTGGTCTTGTGAAATTAATAATCTAGAACAGTCACTAACTACCTAAAACACCTGTGTCTGTATGAGTACATTCATGTACTTAACGCAGAATTTGTAAGCTGTCCACTTTATGGCAATTAACGACTTCTTTCCTGCCTTTCTGGCCTTCTGTAAACTGTCATCTGTACTGGATTTACTACAGTTATATTAGACTAGGACATTGTGAAATTTATGAACATTACTAAATGTTGTAGATTTTGAGAAAGTGGTCATGATTCAGCCAACCCTTTTCAGTTCTCCATTTAGAGAAATCTCTCCATTTACATACCCAAGATGAAAAAAGAGGTAACATTTGAAACAGCTGTTCTAATAATATCAAGTGTGATTTGTTGTGGGGACGTAGGAGATGACAGTTATTGTTGTTAATGGTAAGAAGAAAACCAGCAAGATATATTTTGAAGAGAAAGTAATCTGTGTACATTTGGTTCTTGTTCATTGTCGTGATGCATTTATGTCATATTCATTAGTCAGATCACTCCCAGGTGTAATATTAAATAACATGGCCAAGCATAAATAATTAAAAAATAATTACATCCAAAATGTACTGATTTATAATTTTAACAATGGATCTATAGTTTCTCTAGTGTCCTTAGAAATTTCATTTTGAATAAATAGACCTATAATCATTACAATCTGATTAAAAAAAATCATTGTGGCAAAAAATGGAATACGCTCTCAAATGTGTGTAGAGATTTTGTTTAAGTATCTCTTAAGAACAGACAAGCAGAGATCACGTGCTGATACATGGGAAAAATTATAATTTCTTAAAAAGACTATGAACTGTAGATTATTTAAATAAAATGAGTGATATATTCAAATTTAATGGATATAAGGGGTAATTTAAAAAAAAAGAACAATGAAATAAGTATAGGCACTGCCTTTATAAGCACTGCCCTGATAAATGAATTCTTCTAGGATAAAAGAAAACCAGAAAGCAATTTACCGATTTCAGTATGTGGATTTTGATTTGAAGAAACTAACTGTAACGAATACTTTTTTACAACTGAAGAAATGTAAATATGGAGTTGATCCTATTACATTTTACATTATGAAGAAAATAGTAAAAATTATTTAAATATTTAAAAAATTCACAGTGAAGTAATGCAGGTAATAGCAATGAGTGAACAGAAATACAAATATTCTTACAAGTAGGAAAAAAAGAACAGAACTTGACAGAAACATATAATACTAATAAGAGCAGATCAAATTAATATGTGAGAAAATGAATTTCATTCACAAAACGGGTATAAGATGTTTTATCAAATGAATACCAAAAACCCAGAATCTTTAGAAATTGCTAAGATTGAAATTAAAAAAAAAATAAAAGCTCAGCTTGATGAAATCTCACACAGAATGAGACAGGCAAAGATCAGTAGGATGCTTAAAAAAACAATACTAGGGAAAAGACAACAGAAAAAAACTGCTGAAAAAAAAAAGATACAAAATGTACTAGGCAGAAAACAGTGAGGCCTCAGGAAATAGAAATATCTGGAAGAAGAATACAGGTAAGACTATATTGTTCTATCATTTTCTTCTTTTTTCTGATTATGTCTTTAAAAGCAAGTAAACAAAAATAAATAAGGTTCAGTCACCTCTCACTTATTTGGGAAAATAATTGTAATACATGTAGTTATTTTAACATGTGACATTCTGAAGGCTTTTTCCACAGTAGGAGAAAGAACTAGATACGAAGAATTTGCTTTTCAACGAACAGAACCAGGATCCCATTGCGATTTTACTGGTGTCTCTAATGCCAATGTTACATCAAGAACCCAGAATTCATCCTCACAAGTAGGTTGTTTTTAACAATTGTACATTAAATTCTAAAATAGTTCTATAGATTTTAAAAACAAGCTGATAAAAAACTGATTATTTTGCTAATCCATGCCAGACTTATTTACTAGAATGTTTTAGAACTGTCTTATTACGAAATAGTAATGGTTAAATAAAACATTTTTACTTGGAATCTAGCAGCTCATAATCATTAAAGTTTATGGATTCTTTTTCTGTTAAAAACTTATGACCATCTCTACTTTTGAACATCCAAAGCTAAACACAGTTTGCGAATGAGCATATTGTTTGATTTTCTTCCTTCCTTTCTTCCGCCTGGGCAGTAGAGAGGTTACCTGTTTGAAGGTTTAGATGGTAGTCTGAAGCTCCAGGGCCAGGAGCAAATATATGAAGACCTTTATAAGCTATCCTCACTCAAGAGCTCCCCAAATTTAATAGTCTTTTAAATAATTGTTATGTCTTTCCACACAAAATATACATTATATGTTTTCCAAAAGAGATGTCTTTGGTTAAATTAAAAAAAAAAAAAAAGCATTCTTAATTGGCTTTCTTAGCATTTTATAATCCAATTTGAAAATAATGAATTTACAAAAAATATGTCACAGGTATACTACATCCTATTTTTATGAAACTAATGAAGGAATATCACCACAAATAACTAAACATTATTGTAAATTAGTACAATAATTGTGTGTTGCAGAATACTGCACGACGGAGATTAAGAAGTGAGAGCTCTTATGATATAGATAACATTGTGATTCCCATGTCATTAGTAGCACCAGCCAAGTTAGAGAAACTCCAGTATAAAGAAATACTCACTCCACGGTATGTACACTTACGTTTCCTTTCTTCTTCCTTTAATAAACTTAAATTTAGAGACAAGTTACAACTACTTTAGCAGTGTCAGCACAACAGCAGCAAACAGTTCTTACCTTTTATGACTTGTGAGGAATTCATTCACAGCAGAAAGCAGTTGTGTATGCACGTGTGCACACACTGAAGACAGTCATGCTTGGGACTAAAAGGAGTTTCTCTTTGATTTCTAATTCAACAATGAATCAAATAGAAAACGAAAGGGGACTGAAGAAATAGGGCGATAATCTATAAAGGTAAAAATGGTTTACACGGACACAAGTGTGCAAGGTCTAGCCAGATGGGGAGATTTGGAATAGTGTATAAAAAGCTGAGCTAGAAGAGAACCAGACTACGGCACTCTGAATCCATGCACAGACCTGCATCCACTGAAATGAAGGAAGCCACGTTTTAGGGCAGCAACGAAAGCAGTCTCTTACAGACATAAATATCACACAAGGAAATAGAAGAGATGGAAGATGAACGTGAGCCAGGTCACAGCTACCTTACTTCCCATCCATCTCCATTTTAATTCCATAAGCTCCGTTCCTGCTTCACAATTACTCCAAGGAATTAGCCTGGCACTCTAGTAGGGGTTATAGTTACACATACAGAGGGTTGGCATTTTCTACAGTAAGGAATATTGTCATGGTTATAGTGTTCCATAGCAACAGTGTTCTCAGCCTGCAGTGAAGAATTCTGTGAGCCAGTTAAGCTGCTAGAAACAAACTCAAAAGGGGGCATGATACACATTTCCATCCCAAAGAGAACTAGAAAACACTATGAATCAGTTCAGATTTCTCATTTTTGCTCAAGCCAGTTTATCAGTTTCCCAGAGTTAATTCAAAGCCAGCACGTAATTAGAAAATGCAACCATGTAGAAGAGACGATCTACTGTGAGGTATAAAGATTCATCTTCTATTTTCTTTTATAAAAGTATTGTTCTTTTTTCCTTAAAAATGACAAACTTTTAAAAAACAACAACTGGAACTACGGAAGTCTTGAGGAAATAAAATCCTAATACATTTAGCTGTGTATAGAAAATAAAACTGCTGTATTTTTATAAGAGCTATTTGAAATCCTTTTGTATTTCCAACAGGTGGAGGATGGTTGTTCTTCAGCCTCTAGATGAGCATGACTTAAACAAAGAAGAGGTAAGCTGCCATATGTTTAATGGAATAATTACACACCCCATATTATAAAGCCTGAATCATTTAATAGTTAAATATCTAAAAGAAAATATAAAAACAATTTTTATGAAAAGAATTTTTTGAAAAAAGATATTAATTTTTTTAGAATTTTTTTTTGTTAATTTGACTGCAAAAGTAATAATGTACAGCTTAGTCTATCTCCCAAACCAGCCCAAACAAAAGGACAATAATAATAATAATTATTATAACTATTATTGACTCTTAATAATAGTCAATAATAACAATGATATTAATGCTTCTGAGGTAAAATATATACAGTAAATGTGACAATACACTAAGAATAAATACTGTCACAGAATTTTGGATCGGGCTATGAATTTTAAGAAAAGCTTGTTATTTTTTAGATTTTTTGGATAATTAAATTATTGGTAAAGGATTCTGAACCTATACAGATAAAATTACATTAAGAACAATGGCAGGAATCAAAACACACTGTACGAAACTCGATACTCTCAGAGAACTAATGAAAAGAACAATTACAGGGAACATGGTATAGAATGGCTAATTCAAAGGTGATGGTCTTTAGATAAAAATTAGAATTATATAGAAGGTATACATATAGTTTTGATCCATTAACAGTTCTTATAGGCCCAAGTCTTGTTTGTCAGCTATTAGTATCTTCCCATAAGTGCACTTTGCTTTTTATTGCACTCTTGCTAAGTCAGAATGACCACTGCAAGAAAAACAAATTTCCCCAGAATTACCAAGTTAAAACTACTCAGATAAGTCAGTAACTGAAGTCTGATTCACCTCAATCAGTTTTACTTTTTTTTTTTTTACACATGGGCATGTTCTTAAAACACTATGGACTTCATAATGGATAATTCATAATTATTCTATGGAATAAGTAGCTAAGACTATTTTTTTGTAGATTGGATAAGGTAGCACATACCCATAGTCCCTGTACTACACAGGTTACATTAAGAAGAGGGCATATTTGAAGCTAGGCTGAGCTATACAGTAACATCCTGTCCCCAAACAGTAACAAAACTCCAAACAAAACAAAACAGTCCCATAAACCGTGGCAAATGGAGAGCACTGTGAGTCCTCTGTAGCCTATGTACATATTAAAACACAGGCCAAGAGCAGGATGTTCAAACAGGTTCATGCTCACAGAGACTATTTGAACCTGTTCTCCTCTCTCAAAATCTTACCAGATAGAAGATCTTTCTGATGAAGTCTTCTCCCTAAGACACAGAAAATATGAAGAGAGAGAGCAAGCTAGATGGTCACTCTGGGAGCAAAGCAAGTGGCACAGAAGAAATAACAGGCAAGTATTTTAAGTTGAAAACATTAAAGCCATAGTATATAAGGAATGAATAGAAGCTAGCCATACAATTCGAAAGACCACTGACAAGGGAAACACAAGACACAGATCCTCTGCTGTGTAAAAGTAGCATCCGCATGTGTAAACTTACACTCAGAATACATCTGGGAAATTACATGATAAAATTAGTTTTATGCTGCTAGTCATGGTATCATTATTATTATATTACTCACCTACCGAGTTAACAGGAACATTCTATATAAAGTATGTCATTTTACACAGGCATGATGGTACATGCCAGTAGTTACATGCCAGGGGGATCTCCAGTAAATTTTAGGCCAGTATAGATTTTCAAAACCTCAAAGCAAATTATCTCAATGTACTTTAAACAGTGGGACAGCATTAAGGCAGGAGTTTACATAATTCATTTTAGCAAACATCTCAAAAATACTTATGCAAACTTTCAAAAATTTTTATTTTAGTATAAAAGGCTAGTCCATGGAACTATAAACACTGGATCTGAGCACATGCTTAAGAGTTTCACACTCAGGGTGCTGAGGCAGGAGGATCATGAATTAGAGCATGTACTATAGAGCCAAATTCTGTCTCAAAAGACAGAAAAAAGCCCATAAGTAGACTTTGGGGGAGAATACGTAGTAAGTAATTATCTATTTGAAAATAGCTCTAGTATATTTGTAGTTACATTTCATTATTTTTTATATATCCACAATTTAAAAAACAAGTTCATGTAAAATCTAGCGGTCTCTTCACTTTTGGAACAACCTTTAGTTAGTAATATTAAAAGTCCTTTCTCTGCTTAGATGTTCAGATAAATCTAATGTTCTGTATATCTAGCTGAAAGAGTTCTCCTTATAAAAGTAAGACTCTAGAATTCCTGTTCTTTTCCACATTGAGGAGATACAGCTTTGCAGAAATAGAGGAAAAATGTGAATTGAGGCCTTCACATGAGATATTAAAATAATTACAGAATATTACAGAATAATTACAGACTAACTTGAGAATTCAGAGACTGGAAAGGTCAAGTGCACGGCCCTTTCTGTCTTGTAAAGACCAAGTAATTGTGACAAATGTGATGGAGTACTCAGTGATGAGGAAGCACTGTATTTAAACCTTGGATAAAAACCTTTTATAAAGACAAGACTAGAAAGATCATCAAATGACACTAGGTAGAAATGTTGAGAAAAAGACAGTACTGACCTAGCGCTACCCTGTATCCCTTTATTTCCCTGCTAGAGCTTACAGTAAAAATGTGGAAGGGCAGGACTTGGTTCCGAAGGAATACTCAGGCGAACTTAACAGTGCTCAGCAGTGTGCTGCCGAAAGTCCTCTGGAGCTCCCCGCAGAGAGCCCCAGTCTGTGTGCTCAGGACTCACTTTCTTTAAGTGATGGTCAAGAAGTCAAGGTAAGCCTAAGTCATAGGACTGTGTTTTCTTTTAATTTCATTTCACTTATGTGTAGAAACTGCTTATTGCAAATTGTTTCACTACATATCAAATTCAGCAAGATGTTCAATCTAGTATGTCCAGGAGTCTATAGTAGAACATTCTAGTTCCATTATATTAGCAACTTCTTTTTATTTTTTATTGTTGGAAGGGGGTGGAATAGTTTGTCACTAACAACTTGATCCTGTCTATTTACTTACCTGTTAGGGAATGGGGATTCCACTGAACTTTCTTTAAAGAATGAATTTGACCACTGGAGACTCACGCCCAGTACATAATAAGTGCCTTTTCTGTTTCTCTGTTTCCAGCAGGCTTTACCTCTGTCTACACAAATTCAGTCCTATTTTAGGAGAGTGTATCCTACTATTACAAAGTTCATGCATCTTTCCCTATCAACGGTGCTAAAAAATAACTAGATCAATAACTACACAATGCTAGTAACTTGTTTGTCAATAATACAAATCACAAGCACTAAGATATTAACTGCTGCAGTTTGATAGAAACTGATAGGCACAATGCAGAAAAACAGGAAGGAAAAATCAGTGTATATGTGTAATGCTGTTGAGTACAGCAAATGCAGGAAACCCTTCCAGGGGCTTTCCTCAAGTGTGTTCTATGTCACTCTTCCTAGCAGAGGCAAAATGAAGAAATAATTCCTTAAAGTCAGGAAATTCTCACTATATTCCAGTTTGACAGGAGAGGAAGCAAAAACCTGAACTTATATGCTAAAAGAATATAAAAACTAACATTACAAATCCTTAACAAATAATTAGGTGAAACTTAACTGAAAATGTTTCCCCTTTCAGTCTTTGCGGTGGGAGCGGCGAGCTTTTCCACTGAAGGATGAGGACACAGCAGACTTCTTATGTCAAGATGAAAGAAAGGATGAGGCTGAGGGGGCAAGCCCAGCCGTCGGCGATGAAGTCTTCTGTAGCTCTACACCAGAGAATGGCCACCCTCCAAACTCAGATGGATTGGAAGAATATAAAACCTTTGCTATAGGAGTTACTAATGTGAAAAGAAATAGGTGACAGGGGACATATTAAGAAATCTATGTAACTGAAAGGAAAAGAGGAAAAAAATCTAAACCCTCTTCTGGATCTTCCACCTCCTCTGCTCACAATTCCAGAACGGGAGAAAGTGTTCCATGTACACATCTTTCACTGTTCATGAAACAGGCCAGAAGTTTCTTTCTCCTTTCTGAATCACAGAAGTAGCTAGCTTTTCACCTACACAATGCTAGTAACTTGTTTGTCAATAATACAAATCACAAGCACTAAGATATTAACTGCTGCAGTTTGATGCCAAATCACACTATGGGGTAATTGTTGAGGCAAGAGCCTTCTCTGACAATACAGTTGATTTGCATCAAATAACTATTCTTCATTTCTGTTCTCAAGACAGTTCACTAAAATTGCCTCAATAATATATAAGAATATACTAGTGTGTATACAGAACATGTACACACACAGTGCACACATAATGTAGTCTTATATTTGCATGTATGAACTACTCTATGCATTGGATGTTGCCATGAATATCTAGCACAGGTGTTGACTGATAACAGAGTTCTGAAAGATTTGACTGTGGAGAGGGAGTTGTTTTTCTTTTATTCTAAAAATTCTTTAACCAATATAAGTTATTTATGGAAATTCTTATATCAGATAACACAATATTCATTTATTTGAAATCATTGTTCTCTCTTGAACTAACCACAGGCTTTCTGCTTACTCATAACAATTAAGAGAAGCAACTTAAGAGTTTAATATATTGATTCATTTTAAAACTATTGTCTTTGAAATTTCACCAAGTTTTAGTTGCCTTATGTACCTCTTCAAGACAGTAATTTAAAAATGTAAAACAGCACACAAATCATAATGTGGCTGCAATTCTAGCTAATGTACAGCTAGAAGCTTCTAATTTGGTTTCTTCTTGGCATAGCTTATATAAATACCTACTCTTACAGGTATCCTAGATCAAGAATACAAGTTTTCTAAGACCAAGACTTTAATACAGAATACTGAGGAGTGTACATTAAGGAAAATTCTTTTTGAAGCTATAAACACCATTTTTTTTTTTTTCTAGATGAAAGTTAAGGACAATTTGTATCAACCACTTCTTGTTATGCAAAGAAAGGTTACTCAATTTGTAGTTCTCATACTACTGAGTATCCTGGCCACTGGGCTTGGAATCTATGGGATTAGATACTTAAGGTTTTGTTGAGGATTAGGAATTAAACTGGTCCCTGAAAAAGGGGGGTGGGGGAGCCATTGAAAATTCAATACTTACAAACTTTTGCTTATAGTTTTACTGTACATTTATTTTTAAAGAAAAAGATAACAAAAGCCAGAAAAATACAAGTTGTCCCAGCAAGTAAATTCAAATCTTTGTCATGACTGATATTATAATCTTTTACATAGTTTTTTAATTAAAGTTATTTCTATATGCCTTGTATTGTGTGGTTTGATTAAATGCTATTATTCATGGCACAAACCTTTCATAAGCTAAAAAAAAAAAAAAAAAAAAAAAGGAAAAAAACAAAACACAGGTATTAATAAACTTTTATCTTATAGGGCAGGGAAAAACCCAAGCAAGCTCTATTCCATACCTATTTGTCAGTGTTCTTTGTTTTTAAACCTTATTTCTCAAAACTCATGGTAGCCTGAAGAAATCTAGTGATACGGGTTGTGTTCTTGTCATGTTCAAGAGTGAAAGTAAAGTGGCTAATACATATTTTTAGTTTCTTGGTCACTGAGCACATGGTCATTAATACTTATTTATGGATTAAGTCTGCACCCCATCACTTCTTAGCCTACTTCTTTCTTAGAAATTACATGTATGTATGTATGTATGAATATATATATATATATATATATATATATATATATATATATATATA